CCTGGACCTAGTCACTCACTTCTAACCGAAAGAATATGCCAAAGTAATGAGATGTCACTTTCAAGAGGAGATTGGGTTACAGAAATATGGCTTCTGTCTTAGACATTCTCTCTTGCTATCTCTCTCCTCAGAGCCCTTGCTCTGGGGGAAGCAAGCCACCAAGTCATGAGTATCTCTCTGGAGAGGCCCACATGGCAGGAAACAGATGTCTCTGGCCAATGAGGACTGAGGCCATCCAACAACCACATGGGTGGGCTTGGAAGTAGATCCTCCCTCCACCAGTCAAGCCTTCCCATGACTGCAGCCCCAGCCAACATCTTACTGCAGCCTTGGGGGAGACCCTGAGCCAGAGGCATCCCACTAAGCCACACCCATATTCCTGACCCATAGCAACTGTGAGACAATAATGTTGTTTTAATATGCTAAGTTTAGGGCAATTTGTTACATAGCAATAGATAACTAATAGAATCCCTTAGGAGCTAAAACAGTACTCTACTCATCTCTATATCCCTTGTAGCACCTAGTCCAGAACGTTTCATGTGACAGAATTTAACAGATGTTTATTGAATAGAGAGAATGGCATGGCCTTTACCCCCTCAAGAAGTTTGTATATGTGTGTATGTGTGACTAGATGTGTATGTGTGTGCATGTATGTGTATATGTGTATACATGCATGTGTGTATATGTGTGTGTGCATGTGTGTATGTGTACAAATGCATGTGTGTAGATGTATATGTGTGAATATGCGTGTGCATGTATATATATAGATTGCATGTGTGTGTGCATGTACAGATGCACGTGTATATGTATGTGTGTGCATGTGTATAGATGATGTGTATGTGTGTACATGTATGTGTATAGATGCATGGGTGTGTGTATATGTGTGTGCAGGCATATGTGTAGAAGGGGTGAGTTGATCAGAGTTTCATTGCCAGTAGACCACTCTGCCTTCCCTATGGAGAATGGATTAAAGGGCAGGAAGTGTGAGAGTCGGCAGACTTATTAGTAAGCTATTACAACAGTTCAGAGAAAATAGCCTATTAGTTTAGACTTGTATAGGTATGATGGAAATAGAGAAGTTAATGCATTAGAGAGCAATTCAAGAATGAAATTTAACAGGCCTTGGGGATGGTGTAGGTACAGGGAGGCATGACAAGAGGGCTGTGAAAGGGGACCTCTGCAGGTCTGGCGTATCCCATGGATGGTGCTGCTGATGAGGCTGAGAGGAACCAGGAACCAATGAAAGGCTTGTGGTCCTCTTCTAATGGAGAAGGGTATGCACTCTCAATCACAAAAACTGTGCTATCTGTTTTGCTGGCTCTTTCCTTAAGGGGCATTTTTGTTCATCTTCTGGTTCTCTGCTATATTCCAGACAGAAGAAATATTACAGTGCACCTGCTAGCCTCAGAATCTAGTTAGTGCATCCAGTAATGTATGAATTTCTGCCTGTGAGGCCAGTCTAAACAATGTCACATATACAACTAGAAAAAGAAATTTAATTATAACCATGAAAGTGGGTCCCTTCCAGTTCTTCCATTAACAAGCAAGGCTGAGTCTGCTGATGGCCAATAAATGGCCTCTGTTTCATTTTAACAATGATAGGAACATTTATTGAATACCACATATATGCCAGGTACTCTGTGGGCCTCTCTGCATACATTACCTCTAATCTCACAAGGAAGATACTGCCCCGTTTGTATTCTTGAGGAAGCTCAGAGAGGCAAAGGAACTTCCCCAGGTAACACAAATGGTAAATTGGTAGAGGCAGGATTTGAACCCAGGTCTGCTAGACTCCACAATATGTATTCCTTCTCTAATAGTGACTCTTCCTTTCAGTAGAATCTTTCCTTCAAGGGCTACTTTACCCAGTCAGCCAGCTCACCCACATAGTCCAGTGGGTGAGACAGCTGAAAATACCAGATCAATAACTTTTTCTATCTTCCTTCCATCTGTAACCGACTGACACTGATTAGGAATGGAAGCCCTAATTAACCAAGCCCATGGCTTGGGAGTGGTGCACCTTAGCTCAGTCAAGCACAACACGTTTTCTGGGATGAGCAGGCAACAGTTCACATAAGAAGCTGCTCCGAAGAGACAAGAACGAGCCAGGATACTTCATGTTTATTTGATTTATCAAAGGAAAATGCCGTGCCTTTTTAAAGCACGCTTTTAAAAAGTAGTGAAGTAGTATTTCTTTTTTTCTTTTTCACTGCCTGACTCGTTTCACTTAATATTATTCTTTCAAGGTCCATCCATGTTGTTGCAAATGGGAGTATTTCATTCGTTTTTATAGCTGAGTAGTATTCCATTGTGTAGATATACCACATTTTCCGTATCCACTCATCCGATGATGGACATTTGGGCTGATTCCAACTCTTGGCTATTGTAAAGAGTGCTGCAATGAACATTGGGAAACAAGTATACCTTCGACTTGATGATTTCCATTCCTTTGGATATATTCCCAGCAGTGAAATAGCTGGGTCATATGGTAGATCAATCTGCAACTGTTTGAGGAACCTCCAAACCATTTTCCATAGGGGTTGCACCATTATGCATTCCCACCAACAATGTAAGAGAGTTCCTTTTTCTCCGCAACCACGCCAGCATTTATCGTTCAGCGTCTTTTGGATTTTAGCCATCCTAACTGGGGTGAGATGGTATCTCAGTGTGGTTTTGATTTGCATTTCCCGGATGCTGAGTGATGTTGAGCATTTTTTCATATGACTGTTGGCCATTTGCATATCTTCTTTAGAGAAATGCTTACTTAGCTCTTTTGCCCATTTTTTAATTGGGTTGCTTGTTTTTTCCTTGTAAAGTTGTTTGAGTTCCTTATATATTCTGGATATTAGTCCTTTGTCAGATATGTATTTTGCAAATATTTTCTCCCACTCTGTTGGCTGTCTTTTAGCTCTGTTAATTGTTTCTTTTGCTGTGCAGAAACTTTTCAGTTTGATATAGTCCCATTTGTTTATTTTTCCTTTGGTTGCCCATGCTTTTGGGGTCATATTCATGAAGTCTGTGCCCAGCCCTATTTGCTGAAGGGTTTCTCCTATATTTTCTTTAATAAGTTTTATTGTTTCAGGGTGTATATTTAAATCCTTAATCCATTTTGAGTTGATTTTAGTAAATGGTGAGAGATGTGGGTCTAGTTTCAATCTCCTGCAAATGGATAACCAGTTATCCCAGCACCCTTTGCTGAAGAGGGAGTCCCGACCCCAGTGAATAGACTTAATGCCTTTGTCGAAGATCAAATGGCAGTAAGTGCGTGGGTTGATTTCAGGGTGCTCTATTCTATTCCATTGATCAGAGTCTCTGTTATTATACCAATACCATGCTGTTTTGGTTATTATAGCTTTGTAGTATAGTTTAAAGTCAGGTAGAGTAATACCTCCAGCTTTATTTTTTTTGCTCAGCGTTGCTTTGGCTATTCGTGGTCTTTTGTTATTCCAGATAAATGACTGTATAGTTCTTTCCATGTCAGAGAAAAATGTCATAGGAATTTTAATGGGGATTGCATTAAATTTGTAGATAACTTTGGGTAGTATAGTCATTTTCACTATATTCAAATCATATACCTGATAAAGGCTTACTATCCAGAATATATAAAGAATGCTTAAAACTCAACAACAACAACAAAAAAAGATATATGAACAGACATTCGTCCAAAGAAGAAAGACAAATGACCAACATGCTCATGAAGAGATGCTCAACAATGTTAGCACTAGGGAAATGCAGATAAAAACCACAGTGACATACCACCGCCTACCTACTAACACACCCATGATCAGAAAGACAGACAGTAATGAGTGCTGACGAGGGTGTGCGGAAGCTGGAACCCTCCTACACCGCTGGTGGGAACGTAAGACGGTGCAACCACTGTGGAAAACAGTTTGGTAGATCCTTGAAAAGTTAAATATAGAGTTACCATGTGACCCAGCAACTCCAAAAATTGGAATGGATCCAAGAAAACTATATTAGGAATTAGGAATACATCCAAGAAAACCGAAAACACATGTTCACATAAAAACTTGTACACGGATGTATGTAGCATTATTCATAACAGTCAAAAGTAGAAACAACCCAACTGTCCATTAACTGGAAACACTGATAGACAAAATGTGGCCTATCCATACAATGGAATATTATTTGCCATAAAAAAGAATGAAGTACAGATACATGCTACAACAGGGACGAACTTTGAAAACATGCTAAGTGAAAGAAGCAAGACAAAAATGACTGCATGTTATATGGTTCCATTTATATGAACTGTCCAGAACAGACAGGTCTACAGAGACAGAAAGTAGAGAAAAGAGAGTGGGAGAGAGTTCTTAATGGGTGTGGGGTTCCTTTCTGGGTGATGAAAATGTTCTGGAATTAGATAGCTACACAACCGTGAATATACTAAAACTACTGATTGTACATTTTAAAACAGTAAAATTTATGGTATGTGCATTCTTTCTGTCTTTATGTACATATATAAACTGACTGAAGATAATTCCATTTCTTAAAGCAAAGAAATTTGACATGTTGATCACAATGAAGTTTAGCTGGAAAAACAAAGTTTTTATGAACAGACATTCATCCACAGAAGAGAGACAAATGACCAACAAGCTCATGAAGAGATGCTCAACAATGTTAGCACTAGGGAAATGCAGATAAAAACCACAGTGACATACCACCTCAAGATAGGATGTTTGATTCTGCCTCCCCCCGAGTCTGTGACCATCACCAGTTTTAATGAATCTCTCCAATCTCTCCATCCCCTGTGGACTTCATCTGTAAGATGGGATAATAGCATTACCTGGTCATAAAGACCACGTGGGATGACGTACTACAGTGGTTAGCAAATTGCATCCTGTAGGCAAGTTTTTACGCACGTTGGTCACTTTCATCAGCTCCCTGAGGAGCGAAGGAGAAAGCAAATGTCCCCTTCTGACTGAGAAGGCCCGTGGCCTGACAGCGCTCCCCCGCCCGCCCGCCGCTCCGGCCGCGTCCCTTACCTCGGGGGTCAGTGCGTTGTTATCCGAGGTCTGACTGGACAGCAGGATGTGTGTGAACCCCTCTTCCTTCCGCACAACAATGTCTCGAAACCGACAGTTGCTCTCGTTCTGGCGGACACTGTACCTGAGCCTTTTGTCAAAGACGTAGTCCTTCTCCGCCTCCAGCTTCCTCTTCACGGGGCTGTGCTGGTTCAATCCCCCGTTGGTGAGCGCAGAGCCTTCCAAAGCAGATAATAAATACAGTGAGCAACTGCACGGCCACAGTCCCATGACAGCATGATCAGAGAATGTTCGGATTTGCAATGGAAAGGCTCGGCAGTGTTTGGGGGGTGGGGGGTTGGTGAAGGGCCCCACACAGTCCCAGACTCCTGTCTCCCACACATCAGTCTGTGAACATCCACATTTGCTCGGATTCCCTAGGGACAAGAAACCCATTGAGAACCAAAGGAGGCAGCCCCTTCCATTGGTGGGCACCTGTGACTGATGCAGAGTTATTATCAAGAGCAGTACTGGCAGCTAACCTTTATCCACATCCACATTTGCTCGGATTCCCTAGGGACAAGAAACCCATTGAGAACCAAAGGAGGCAGCCCCTTCCATTGATGGGCACCTGTGACTGATGCAGAGTTATTATCAAGAGCAGTACTGGCAGCTAACCTTTATCCAACGTGTACAGTATGCTAAGCACTGACCTAAAACACTACATGGGCATTATCCCATTTAAAATGACAGCCAGAGACAGGGCTCTGGGACCCCTGGTGCTTCCTTGGGAGCTGCCCTGAGATGAGGGACGGGGGAGCCAAGGAGGCATGGTCCTTATGTCTCTCCTCTCTTTTCCCAAATCAATTACAACAGCTTTGTGTTTTTCTGCTTGACCCATTAGCATTCACAGAAGGCCAGAGAGCCCTGGCTGAAAAGGTTTGAAAAGTAATGACAAAACGATCCAGATTCGTGATGGTTCCCATTCTCCAGCCTCCCAGTGAGACACATCAGGAGCTCCCAGGGTGTTCTAAAGAAAGCATGCCCAAGCCCATGACCCCCAAACCTCCATCGGAAGCAGTTGTGGGAAGAGGTCCAAATGTGTGTTTTGAAAACACTTCTCAACCAAGGAAAAGAAAAGGAAAGACTCAAATTAGCAATATTAGAAATAAAAGAGTGGGCAAAAAATGGGCAAAAGATTTGAAGAGACACCAAACCAAGGAAATTATACACATGGCAAATAAACATATCGAAAAGATGTTCACCACCATTTTTCATTAGAGAATTAAAGCCAAGAGATACCACTACACATACATTAGATTAGCTAACACCCAAAAAACTGCTAACAATGATTGCTAGTGAGGACACAGAGCAGCAGGAACTCTCATTCGTTGCTGGTTGGAATATAAAATGGTACAGCTAATTTAGGAGGACAGTTTTCTCTTTTCTTAAAAAGCAAAACATAGTCTTAACACATGATCCAGCAATCACAGTTCTAAGTATTCACCCAAATAAACTAAAATCTTATAGCCACAGAACAGATGAAACGAACAAAAAACTTCCGCTGTATTCATAACTGCCAAAAATTGGAAGCAACCAAGATGCCCTTCAATAGGCGAACAGATAAACAAACTGTGGCATATCCAGACAATGGAATATTATAAAGAAATAAAAAGAAATTAGCCATCAAGCCACAAAAAAAAACATGAGTGAATCTCAAATGCACATTGCAAATTGAAAGAAGCCAGTTTGAAAACTCTATACGTGATATGATTCCAATCACATGATATCCTAGAAAAGACAAAAATATAGAAATGACAAAAAGATCTGTAGTTACCAGGGGTTTGGGTGGTATAAGAGGAGGGCTGAACAGATGAAGCATAGGGGATTTTTTAGGGCGGTGAAACCATGCTGTGATACTACAAGGAAAAATATGAGACATTAAGCATTTGTCAAAACCTAATTATAGCACAGAGAGTGAACCTGAAAGTATGCAAATTTTAAACTATCATATGGGAGGTCGGGGGATCCCAGGATGGAATGCAGGAAGGTGACAAAAGAATGTAACTGTACACGTGTGAAACAACTTCACTGAAGGGGATGGGGAAAAGCTGCTGACATAAGTAACTGTAGAAACAAAAGGAGTCTGTAAAATTAAAGACAAAATAAACTCTACATGAGCACTGTACTCCAGCTGATAAAGCTGATCCCCACGGAGGAAAGGGCTAACAATTCTGACACTGCTGCACACGTACACTGGAAGTGAACTATCACATAAATGATGGCAGATGGTAGGAGCAAGGCTTTCACCACTGGAGAGGGAGTTTACAGATAAGCAAAGGGAGAAGACTAGAATGATCTGTGTGACAAAGGGGGACAGTTAAAGACACCAGTAAGAACTCATGTTTAGCTTAATACAGATAGAGGTGATTATGCACAGAAGTATTTATAGATAAGTGTGTATACACAGGTTAGTACACACACCGGTATTTCCTTGCTCTATCAGCTGAGAGGGCCAAGAATCCCACTGTCAAAGATCAGACCTAGGGCCCAGACGTTGGTTTGTAATATCATTCTCAGTAAGTGTAACCAGGGCACCCTGGAGAAGTGGCTGACTCAAGGACTGGGGCAGAACACATACAGGATAAGCTTGCAGTGCCAGCACAGAAGGAAGTGCCCAAGCAAAACAAGCCAAAAACCCTCCACAGTGACGGGGACATGTCAAAAGGACCCGGGAGCCAACTGAAAGAGTCCCAATGGCCAAAGATGGAACAATTTGAGGGACAGAATAAAGTAGTATTGGATTATAACAGAACATAAAAAATAACTATCCATGAGTCCATACTAATGTAAATATATGAAAGAATAAATTAAGAAATGCAGAAGAATTCCAAATAATTTATGCAAATACTCTAGCCTCAAGGAAATGGAGCATAACTCCCCATTCCTTCCTTCCCAAGAGTACAGTGTGGAAAGGGGAGAGTAACCGTACAGTGGAGAGACTTGGCAAATATACCTCAGCCAGGTGACAAAGGTCAACACCAACAGGGACAGGTCATGTCGATACTATGCGCCCTTGATATGATGTGATGAGAACAGCATTTTACCCCTACGGTCTTCCTCTCCATAACTCATAATCCCAGTGTAAACATGTGATAAACATCAAACAAATCCCAACTGAGGAACACTCTACAAAATACCTGAGCAGCCCTCTTCAAAACTCTCAACATCATCAAAAAGAAAAAACATCTGAGAAACTGTCACAGCCAAGAGGAGCCTAAAGAGACTAGATGTCATATGGGATCCTGGATGGGATTCAGGAACAGACATTAGGTAAAAAGTAGGGAAACCTGAAAAAAGTATGTACTTTAGTTCACAATAATGTATTAATATTGGTTCATCAATTTTAACAAAGGTACCATACTAATGTAAGACGTTAATAGGATAAACTGGGTGTGGAGTATAAGTACTTTAGTTCACAATAATGTATTAATATTGGTTCATCGATTTTAACAAAGGTACCATACTAATGTAAGACGTTAATAGGATAAACTGGGTGTGGAGTATATAAGATCTCTCTGTATTAGCTTTCCAATTTTTCTGTAAATCTAAAACTGTTTTAAAAGTCAAATTTTTTTAAAAAAATATATTTTAAAAACTATTTTACAAAATAAGGAGGCTTCACAGAGGCCGCAGGCTGACACAGGCACCACTTCCATAGTGGTATTTATAAATTCCATAATTTTTTAAAATATATTTTAAAAACTAAGTTTATCTAAAAACAATGACAACACTTCCCAGGTGATTCTGACATGCAGGCAGGTTTGTGAGCTTCAACCAGTGGTTCTCACACCTGGGTGTGCACCAGGATCACTGGAGGATTGTTAGAAACCAGCCTACCAGGTCCACCCCATGCTGCTGCTGCAGCTCCAAGGAACCAGCACTGAGAACCAGGGTCTAGACAACCCAGAGATCCCTCCCTCACCAGGAGCCCCTCTGGGATCCAGGTGTGAGCAGTCTTCCTCAAGCCCTCTGTAGCAAAACAGGAGCTGCCCTACGCTTGCACATGCATGATGGTCTGAAAATCATGTTAACTATCACCATTCCTGCCAGGCAGGGGTGAGTGACTACCGCATGTGGGACAGAGCCACATCTCAAAGATGACCTCTCTAAGCCGTGGTGATTCGAGCAGGAAAGGCGCAAGGAGACACAGAGGAGCACTTACTATATGCTAAGCACTCTGCCAGGCTGGGATGGGAAGGAAGTTACCAAGGAGACTGAAATGCCGGAATGCAACCAGAAGCCAGCCCCGAAGGCCACACCTGCCTCCTCCATAGGAAGATTACTGTGTGGACAGGACGTGACCAGCTCCACTTTCCGATCATCAGAAAGCAGGGTATGAGGATCAAGTATGATAACATATGTAAAGAACCCAGCATATAGTAAACAATGAATTAATGGTGGCTCTTGTTTGTTTTACTATCATCATGGTCCAGCTTAGCATACAATTATTCTGGTAATATTTGCAGTGTGTGTCCCATCAATAATACCATGTCTTAAAGGCAGGAACACTGGCATGCTCACAGCCCATGGCCCCTAGAGTCCCACAGGAGTTGTTCCTCGGCACCCAGAGCCCCCGGCCCACCTCTGGGTGGGCTCAGACTCTTAGTGAGCACTGGGAGTCTTGGAATCTCAAGTGCCAGGCCAAAGGCAGGGACTAGGAAACACGCCACCGCCCCTCTCCCACAGGCCGGGTCCCTGCAGGGCATGCTGAGGGCACCTGAGCTGCATGGCATGGAAGTGGTGCCTGTGTCAGCCCACGGCCTCTGCAAAGCCTCCTCATTTTGTACTTTTCCATTGCTCAAAGCTACTGGGCTCTGTCAAACATCAAGATGCGGCTCCTGACACCGGGTAAAATGAGTCAATGAACTGTGGAAAGTAAACACAAGCGTTTAATTAAAAGGCTTGCGTAGAGGGAGCTGTTTCTGTTCAGTTAATCTCAAACCCTCAGCAACTCAGAAGGGCTTCCTAACCAGAGCTGGCCACAGTTTCTGTCACAGCCCAGGCAGGTTGGCCACGGTCCTATTTGCAGAGGCTTCCCATCATGGGGTGCCGGCTCTCGCCTGGCGAGAAGTCAGACGCTCAGAGCTTGGGGTGCATCTGTACTTTCCAGGCCAGGAAAGCTTTGGATAAAATCCTCCTACCTCCCAACCGAGTCAGGGAGCTTATTAACAATTATTATATTTAGGAGGAGGACTCAAGGGTTATCTTTCTTGAGGAACTCAAAGGTT